CCAAACAAGACTGCAGCTGTCACGCACCCGGTCCAACACACATCGGTCTGGAGTAAAGCAACGATGCCGATTGCTTACCTGTCGTGCCTCAAGCTTCCCCCTTGTGATCCTCCTTTCGTTAGTCGTGCCCCGCCTGGCCCACGTCCTCCCCCACGTCCGCCACCCTCCCCATGCCCTCTCGCCCCTGCCACGTGCGAGGAACCGGGTCCATGCCCGCCCGCATGGTGGTGGGGATGCTGCAGCGTGGGGAGGTCTTGGGCGGGGGAGACGTGTTGCGGCCGCATAGACTGTCACGATGACGCGCCGAAATTGAAGCGAGACCGACGAGAAGCGGAAGTGGAAGGCAATCGCAAACCAGCGCGAAGGCTTTTATCATTACAAAAGAAGCGGCAAGGAGATAAGAGGTGAAACAGATATTGCTCCGTCAGCGCGAGAGAATCTCGTGTCCTCCCTGCCGGAATGCACCGAGCCCTGGCTCCAACCACCCGTTCGCAGCTCACGCACAATTCCGTATAAGGGATGTATTCTAGCGATTTAAAGGGGAGTGCCAAAGTGCTCACGACCGTGCCGCGAAACCTTTCCGCGAGAAACTTCACCATGGAGTCGGCCCACCCGTAAGGTTGTCGGCAAGCCTGAGTGTTGTCACAGCCCGAGGGCTGTTTCTATGATTAAGAGAAGAACGCTGAACGCAACAGGGATGGCGACAGCCACGGTGACAGTAGTGGTAAGCTCCGTACCATCAACACCAGCAAGAGAGGCATCACCTTGGCATGGTTGTACACCTCTGATAGAGCGACCCTGCACTTGCCCTTTCCATTCGGGACGACGATCACGCCTCTCACTTCCCACTCGTGGCCCGTGCAACACCCGATTCGAATGCAATCTCCCTGAATTAGATTGAGGATTGGCACCACGTAGCAAGGAAAACTTGGACTGTTCGCTCTTCGTTCAGCATCACGCAGTGGGCAATACCAGCAATATTGAAGCATGGTACCGAAAAAAGTGACTTCCTGGATAAGTAGCAGGAGCGTTCGGCCTACACATGTAGGTGTGTCCAGTGTGAGCACGCAGGTCAACCTCTCGTCTCTGAAGCCGTCGAGCGGCTCCGTGATTTCCCGGCAATGCTTGCCAACCGTACGCAGTTCACGCGTTCTCGACAGCACGTGTGCCGATTTGTTGTCATTCGCAGTTTGAACAGTCACCTTGTGATGGCGTACATCTGGTGTGATCGGAGCAGAATGTCCCCAACAACCCAGACTGTTCCCCAGACTGTTCCCCAGACTGTTCCCCTAAAGGGCCCCTAAAGGGGTAGAACCTCCTGCGTAGAGTATATAGTCATCACCCACACTGCTGTTGTCCAAGCACACAGAGTATCTACGATTGTCCCGAATCTATTGCCATCAAGACCCCCAAGGAGCTGTTGTTTCCACCTCTGGAGTACAGCTGCCAAGGCGTAAACAAATGAAGATCTCGCGCTCGTCGTTGGCATCGACGGGACGCAGACAGTCTGCAGTTCCACCCGGCCCAAGCCGGTCAACGGGGGATGAGGAGTTGGGGCTTACCGCCTTCAGTTGCCACGACACGTCGTCTTCGGATAGGATTTCCTTGATGCCTTCCGGGCAAGACACGTTTGTGTCCAGCAGCACAGGAACCTATCAGAACAACAAACAGATAAGGTCAGATGATTAGCACGGGTTGTGCGGAGCGTCGTGCCAGAGATGCTGTACAGTTTGCCGCACGTTGTAAGGGGTCTCGAACGTGCCCACAAGAAGCGTGGAACCTGCACGAAACTACTGAAGTATGCAGGAAAGCGCCTTTAATCTCGCGAGTTTTTACTTGAGACGTCCTTACAGGAAATACTTCCGAAACTGTTCTACAATTGTATTGGGATACCTTTTTTCTGGTTCTGGTTGAACAAGTCCACGGCGGAACGGCGACAGACGCAGGTGACGCACTCGCACGGCTTCCAACTTTAATGGCATCATATTTTATCACATGTACTCAAGTATGATACGTCTAGTGTCCAACTACTCCAGTCGAGCTCCCGAAAAAATCAATCAGAGAAGCAATCGGACCCCCCTTCAACCTCTCTATCCAGTCTGTTGCCTTGTTCCACTCACCCATGGTCCCTTGTATTCCGGTTCCTTGGTGGCCTTCGCTATGGTCTTCCAATCCGACCCCCCTCCTGACCTACCGTGCCGGCTGTGCTTCGTAATGTTTGCACTCCCCGGTTTCGTGGCACTTTCCGACGTTCGGACATCGCCAGCGTCGTCGTCGACTTCGATGTGGGAAATCGTTTTGGCCTTCCGACCGCGCTTCAGCTTTCCGTGGTGGTGATGGTGGTGTGCATGTTTTCTGAACAAGAGAGACCACGCACGATCATCCCGGAAATTGTCAGCGACGGTCTGTCTCGTTAGCCTGGCTTTCGTCTGGGTGAGTGACCTGAAGAGGAGCACGGTTGAGTCGTTCTCGAGTGCAGCAATTCGGTACGGAGAACAACCAAACACATCCTGGACTCGACCGTGGGAAAGTTGACCGTGTACACTATGCATCAAACACCTGCCGAATCTAGCCTTCTATTGCTTCATCTTAAATCTCACCGCGCCACTTGCGAAGACTCCGCGTTGCCCGCCCCGTCGCTCCCGGGCTGGCTTTCTGCTTGGTCGCCTGCGCCCAAGGTCAACGAGGTCAGAATTTTGACGAAATGAAAGGCGGCAGAAGATGTGCGGTTAATCTCTTCAAGCCACGAAGCGGTCTTGTATTTTTGAAAATGATTCGACCATGGCGTCTTTGGGAAACTGAACCCACCTTCGCTCTGTTGGTCCTCGAAGGTTATCCCGCCTTTCCCTCTCCGCCTCTTGAAGACCTTACCGTCATTGCCAAGGTGGCCATCATCTCTACCCGAGTCCCACCGATCGGAGCGTTGACCATTTTGCCTGGGAGAAATACTTCTTGTTGAGTCGTCCCCCTCGACACCGCTTCGGTTTGGGACTCCGCCGATGTCCCCAGTTGCTCCGACGACCTCACCTGTCTCCCGTGCGTGCTCGGCCCTGTGGCGCTTACTGCCCCTCCTGGAACGCTCCTTGGCTTCTTCTGCAACGATGGCGACAGCGGCGAGTCTTACTCGCCGCTTGTCCAGCCTGCTCTTCGTTTGCGACGGTGACAGTGCACCCTCATTACTATCACGAGCACGAGGGCTAACTGCGCCGCCGACGCCGTTGCCGGTGAAAAGGGCCAGCGTGTCGTCGAGATTGTGTCCTAAGATGAACGGGTTCCTGTAGAGTTTTGTGTCTGGAGGGAAAAGTTCTGCCAAAACGGACCCAGGGGCCCCGATGAAATCTGTATCTGTCGCCATACGCGCGAGATAGTTCATGCCTGATGCTGTGTGGTGAGTGTCGAGTCCATCATATTCGTTGTTGGAATGGACGATTGTCCCACTCGCGCGGGCTGGTGATATACTCCCCGCTCTTGTATCAGCATCTGGGTATCCATTCGCCGCGGACGCTGCCGTTGATCCGGTCGTTTCCTCATCGTCACCTATTTTCTCTGGGACACATGTTTCCGGATTAAGGCTGTTCTGCCCAGACACCTCGACGGTATCTTGACCGCTTTCACCGCCGTATACTCGCGATGGGAACCACAGAAACGTAGGCATGTCTTCATCGCCGGTAGACATGGAGCGAGACGTTGGTACAACAGGAAATCGGACCTCTGGCAATATTCCCGCCATCTCCCTGTGCTCTGGCCTACCATGCGGCAATTTCCGGGATGATCCCTCGTTGTTGCTACCGGCTTCGGGTGAGCTTCCTCGTGACAGCTGTTCGTTGCTGCAGCCACCTTGACTTCTATCCTTCAGCTCTCTCTGCCTTGCTTTACGCCACGCTTGGACAACTTCCACTACGCAAAGAGAGGCCTCTCTGAGGTGGGCGACAGCTCCCTGGACTTCGCGAATGCTGGGGCCTTGAAACATGCTCACGGAGGCTGGCGGTGGTGACATCACCGATGGAAGCGGACTGAGGTGGTGATTGGCATTGGCGGCACCTGATGACTCGATGGTCGTTGGTGATTCCGGGCTACCGGTACTCTCGGGAGGAAAGAGAAGGCCACGCAGTCCCCCCAGGATGGCCTCCCTCTCTTGAACCTGGTTCGGTAAGGAGGACGTCCCGTTGGTGTGCACCATCCATACAATAACCTTGAGCGATCTCTGATAGACACATGGCGCCAAAAAGGTTCTGCAGCTGCCTTCTGATCCTGCGACATCAGTAGCTACAAGTGCTTCCACCATTTGTTTTCCTGCAAGTGAGGCCCAACTCACAGCATGCTCATGGGAATTCCAATTTAGATTACTGTTGTTGGCGTGAAATTAGTCGCAAAGTGTACCACCGTGCATTCCAAACAGGAGTACAATAGCGCAGCAGCGGATGAACAGCGGTGAAAATGACCCTCTGTAAACTTCAAATTCCTGCGGGCAAGTAGGCGTTCTATGTCCTTAACCTACGCACCTTCCGGTTCGCTTCATCTCTTAGCTCGGAGACCAGTTGAGTCCTCGATGTCGGGGAAAACATGACTCGTTGCTGGCACTATTGCTGGTGTCTCATGGGATGAGCAGACGGCCGGCCAGACACCGCGCTGGGCCCCGGCTGTGTGTTATGAGTCTGCATAGTAGCACAAAATGCCATGCGCCGCCCGTGCCGACTTTTCCTTCGCCCACCCTCTATCCCCCCCCCCCCC